ATGTCAACTGCAGTCTCGGACAGCTCTTACCCTATTCATATAAAGTATACAGTAGTGTTCAAGCAATCTGTGACTGTACTGTAGACATTTTGCTCCCTCTCACTCAGCGGTATGACCAGCCGGTCAAAAGAGGTGATTATCCCACTGTATTCACTGTTGGTGCGGGCTCACCCTGAGCACTCGGTGCAGTTCTGGGCCCCACAATTTAAGAAGGATGTGAAGGTCCTTGAGCATGTCCAGAGGAGAGCAACAAAACTGGTGAAAGGGCTGGATGGAATGTCCTGTGGGGAGTGGCTGAGGACTTTGGGCTTACCTAGTTTGGAGAAAAGGAGGCTGAGGGGCGACCCCATTGCTCTCTGCAGCTTCCTGAGGAAGGGGAGAGGGAGGTGCTGAGCTCTTCTCCCTGGTGTCTGGGGATAGGATGCATGGGAATGGTTCAAAGCTGCACCAGGGGAGCTTTTGACTGGCCATTAGGAAGCATTTCTTTACCGAGAGGGTGGTCAAACACCGGAGCAGGTTTCCTAGAGAGGTGGTCGATGCCCCAAGCCTGTCAGTGTTTAAGAGCCATTTGGACAATGCCCTTAATAATATGCTTTAAATTTTGGTCAGCCCTGAACTGGTCAGGCAGTTGGACTAGGTGATCATTGTAGGTCCCTTCCAACTGAAATTATTCTGTTGTTAACATTTAAAAATAACAGTTGCTGTGCTCGACATTACTTCTGCAGAGTGAAATCCTCTATCTTTCTTGCCCTTCTTCTTCTGTTTAATCCCACCGTCTTTCTATATATCACTTCTTAAACTTGTCATACGTAATACCTCAGGCAGCAGTGTACAATGTTGTGTATTTTGAGGCAAAACTCCTTAGTCTTGAATACTTTTCCATTTTACTGTATCTGTCAGTGTAGGTCATAATTTCTCAGGCAAAGCAATCTTTGCAAAGCAGGAGGAGTACTTTGTCTCTGAGTCGGAGTACCTGTGTTTCAGAGACTCTGTAAACAGTATGCAGCCACCACCTTGTCGTCTTATTCAACCAATGGTAAAAGGACTTGTAGCCATGAGAAAGTAAGAGTTCCAAAGGTGACCCTAAACTTTATTCATATTAAAACAGTTATACCAACTGTAGATTACAGAATCTCTTGTGCAATGTGTTGCTGGAGAGACTTTGCACAGGAGGAAGATGAAAAGCAAGGAGGCTCAAAGGTTAAAGTGTAAAGTTTCCCTTTACACTCCTACTTATTTTCCTGCTTTATGCAACTAAGCCATAGTACAGATTGCAAAACAGTTGGGCTGTGTGAAGACCCGTGATATTTCTTTTGTACTTTTTGAAGGTCGATATTGTTCCTTATCCTCTAAGACATCATTCCTAGTCATTTGCTACATCTAGTAGGTTTTTTAAAAGCTGCTATTCTTAATTAGAGGAAATAGTTAGAAATACTTCCACTTTTTATATTAGTTGCAGTTACCAAGTTCCAGTATGAGTGTGATTATGTTCAGTTATGGGGTAGTGTGACTTCTGGAAACACAGACTATTAAATATACTGCTAAAAAGCTTGAAAGAGGTTATTGGGCATTTCCGAGGCATTTTAATGTCTCATAGGAAGGAATTTTTGAAGCCAGAATTCTGTACACGTTGTGTAAGAACTTAAGTATGCCATGGCATTTTTTCCAAAAGTTTATCCATCAAAAGATTTGAAAAATATTACTCTCTCTATATATTATTAGAAAAAAAAAAAACTGCTGCATTTTTTTTCATGTAAAGCATGTGGCAATAGTAGTCTACAGCACTTGTTGGACATTGATAGTGTGCTTTTTCAGATTGCACTCAACTTGCCCATGGCTCATGTGTTTGCTACAAAAAAAGAGAAGGCACCCCCTCCCCCACTTTTTCGGAGGGAACAGTAACATAAAGACATCAGGCATAAGCAAGGAGAGTTTGATGATAAGGAAGACAAGTCCACTTCAGTTCCAATATCTTTTCTCAGATGTCTTTATCCTGGTCACCTTGACCCTGTGGCTAAGAGCCATCAAGGACCATAGCCATCAGTGCCAACTATACAGCATCAGCTCTATGATATTGTGTACTTACAGCTAATTAGCACACGAGTGTTAAAAGTTAACACTCTTCTGTATATAAGGAGCATGTTTAATAGTGTGTAAGAATTGACTCTTAGCAAGAGGTGTGTTGTTAATGAATGAACTTAGTTTAAAGTTTAAAACAGGCCTGATCTGTCAGTCTTCTAAACATTCCCATCACAGTAATTCCAGTTCCCTGATACACATGTATGCACTCAGGCATGCACACTCACACACATTCAATTAAAAATCATCTTGGTTGTGCAAATTTTCAGCGTTGCTTGTTCTTAGTATCCCAAGAGAAAGCTAGTACTTACTTTAACCCCTGATTTCTTCTTCTGCACGGGGACTTCATCACCTAAACCAATTCTAGATAACTATGCATATTTTTTGTATTAATAAAGAATCTGAACAGTTGAGAGGGTATTTGTTTTGATTTTAGTGTCCTGCAATCTGCTGCCACTTTCTGGAGTGATTGACTCTCTCTTCTGTGGAGATTCAGCAGAAGTTTGCAGTAGATTTTTCTAATAGTAAGTTAGCAGATGAAGACGGGCAATAGGTTTTGTTTTGGTTTTTTACACCCTAGATAACAGTTTTTCCAAAAATGAATTCATTTGCATTAATGTGTTGTGAATCTTACCATAATAAGCATTCAGTTTTATGTAAAGATCTATATGTATGCATTATGAATTTAGTTTTATAAATAATCTGTGGCTGCTTGGTAACTGAAGCTATCTAGGGTGTGCAAGAGAAACCTCAGCAGTGTACTTTGTGATCAGTTGTAACTGTATTCCAAGCAAGTTCATATTCTCATATAAATTAGTGGAAAAACATACTTCTGTGGCTTATATATTACTTTAAAACTGGCAATTTATCAAGTGATTTTTCTTGAAATTTCCATGCCTATTAAATTTCAGATTATGTATTTTGAGTAAGCTGGAAACTTAAACTTGTTTCCGTAAGCATGGCTGCAGGTAAACAACCAATTTTAGTCCAGAAAATAGCTTTTGCTTCTGTCAACATGTTGTTTATTTTCTCCCTGAGATAAAAAGTTCAGTTTTCTGATATTTGTACCAAGATAAAGTCTGTAAACAAGATTAATATAGTGTGGAAAAGGTTGTCAGCAGCCCTGGCAAAGGAAATAAGTTGCCTGTACACAGAACATACTGTAAACTGAATAAAAGTGTCAGGTCCACCATGAGATAATGTGATCATGAACCTCTAACAAAGCATGACATAGGCACAGTCGGCTCTTCTTATAGCTACGGTGTAGAAAATGGATTACTATATTCCAGGGGTACCCACTGGAATAGCATGAAAACCTCATTTTGAGATTAATGCAGGATGTAACTCTTGAGAGCTGAGCTACATGTTTACCTATAGTGTTAAAGTAATAGTTCAGTTATTAATCTTAAAATTTGGAAATTACCTATTAAAATACTTCTTCATATTTCTAGGTCTGTCTTTGTGAACTGACATTTCTTGCTCTTATTAGGTGAACTATGACGTTGCAAAAGTAACGTTTGGTCACTATTTTGTTATTATCATGTGGCTATGTAAGGCCTCAATAAGTCTAGTAAAACAGTAAATTCCAAATGGGGGTAAAGCAGTAGGTGCTGTTCTCCCATGTAGCTGCCATGATTTCCTCTACTAGGGATTTGTGTATTTGCGTAGATTTTTATGAGGTAAGGTATTACCAACTCTTTTCAATTACCATCAGCCTGAAAAGTGACAACACTTCAGGGTTTCTCAGTTCAGCCCCAAGCGACATCATTTTTCAGGTCAAAGAAACAGATTTTGGTCAAATACGTTAACTGCGTGGAGCTTTCAAATTATTCAGTGAGTGTTCTTTGAAAGTTTTCCAGACTTGGAGCTCTGACTGCCCTGGCTTCTCTCCAGCATGAGACCAGATGAGTAGGGATATTAGACTTTAAAAGTTGAGAGCAATGTTCTTTCAATAAAGAGTAGGCTGCTTTTATCTGTGAATCTTATGCTTATGTACTTTTGGCAGGCCTGAGCCATATAAATGTATGATCATTGAGTTTTTGTGGTCTCCTTTCAAGACTGGCCTAACATCTGACTTCATTCCCACTTCTGTTCATCTACTGTCTGTAAAACTATCTCCAAGGAACTGAAAATTTGTTCCTGCATTCTTTCCAACAGGAATAGTTTGCCTTCTGCTCTAGTTGTTCAAGCATGAGTTTCATCAGGTGGTCTCTTATTCTTCTGCTTTTACCTAAACATGCAGACAAATTAATTTTACCTAAACATGCAGGCAAATTAAGCAGATTCTAAAAATAAGAATAAAAATAAAGCTGTTTGAATGCATTCTTGAGCAATACCAGAGTATAATCACCTGCAAAGGTCTGCATGTGCTATCATGCATTCTTAAGATCAGTCTTAAATTGAGCATATTATGTATTTTTTTGTTTCGACTAGACAAGGACTGTAGTACAGTGTGGTAAAAACTTTTATCTTTGCTTTCTATCCCACTTCAACTTGAATTTCAAAAGCTTTGTGTTGGGATACAAAGGTTGGGAGTATTTTTTAATAAATTTAGTGCTGTATTATCCATAAATAAGGATAGTATATCAAATATGATTTTCAAAACATCTAACTTTCATTTTTCGGAGAGAAAGTGCTTCACGGACTTTTTAAAGTAACTTAGGCTTCTGACATCTGTAAATGTCTGACGTGTGACATCCAATCAGAATGACACATAAAGGATTTTGGTAAATCTTGTATAGCACTTCCTGCACTCAGACTTTACTTACAATTAGCAATATCTGCAATTTTTATTTACTGTATCTAGTGTACTGTCTCTTTTTTTGATTTAGTAGTTGTGGTATGTTTTCTTAATAAACAATCACTGTGTGTGCACTGCCCCATTATTCAAAGACTTTTTTTTCCCTACTTTTTTCCGTTAGATAACTCCAGGACCAGGTGGTAGCAGGAAAACAGTTCACTTGTCCCAGGATTCTCTTCACCATGAGTGAGTATTAGTGATGGGAGTTATAACTTTTTATTATTGTTTGCTTTACGGTAGTACCTCTGTCCCAAAGCCACATTTTACAGCTGTACAAACATGTGATAAGAGAACCTCAGCTCAGTTACATAATGATCTTTATTTAATAATATTATTTATAATCCTCTGTAATTCATTTTGTTTCTTAATGAAATGTGACGTTCAGTGCTTTGTAAATGTGCTTTTATTAACTTGCTAAGTATATGCTTTCCTAAAATGCAACTCTTCTTAAGGCTAGATGTCAAATATGGATTGTTTAAAAAGACCTGCTTTATTTTTCTCCAAAGGGAAATTCAGAAACGCCAAGCTTGAATATATGAAAATAAACAGGCATCACATCATTGAGTCTTAAACATGATATATCATGTGAGGAAGAAGGTTATCATGAATTCCACAAAAAGACATTGAATGAATTTTTTGGACACATGTAAATAGGGAATGTGATTCAGTTCGTTTAGTTACTCCAGTGTGCCATTACTGTAAACTCTTATTCTGTTCAGCTGACAACATTAGCAGCATTATTTCTTGGTTATCTCGAATTGTTACAATAAGAAGATTACATTTTCCTATATTTTCCAAATCAGAAATCTAAAGCACAGACACAGATGATTAGGAAATAATATATTTGGGGATACGTTTATATGTTCTAACTGTTACTAGATACAGCATCCACAGTTTAAAACAAAACTTGCCAAAGCACGTATACTAAAAACATCAGGTCCTCAGTACCAGCTGGTTTATGCTACTAATTCACTTCTGTTGTACTTGCTAACTTGCTAATGTGTGTGTTCACTAAAGAGGTTGTGATTTCACAAGTTATTTCTACCCTAAATTAATTCAACTGATACTTTGTGGTTTTTACTTTTGTTTGTTTTATTAAAACAAACAAGCAAACAAATAATATTGTAATTAAGTGAATGGACAAAATTATAAAAAACAGCGTGACGTGAATATCATTCTCATTACAAAAGGTCTTATTCTTTATGAAGAGTTTTTTTAATGTCTAAATATGAGACACATTCAAATTAGTTTGATATATTTTCTCAATAGAAATACATTTTACTAATAATCTAGTCTGTAATCCACTGATTTGCCACAAGCCAGCAGAGTTTATGTGGAGGAGAATACCCCAGTTTGCTGCTCCTCCTTGAGCATTTGCTGTTGACACTGGTCAGAGACAAGACACTCATCTATGTGGAATTTAGACCTAACCTGTTATATTTCTTATCTTCATCAGCTTCTGGATGTTTGTGACCTTATCTGCTGGGTCACTCGCAAATGTGATGTGGTTTGGTTTGGTTTGTTTTATCCACTGCCAACATCAAAGTTGTGTGTGCATGAAATCTCCCTGTTTCCCTCAAGATTTTTAACTATTCAGTGCAGTTGATGAACGCTTCATGTCCAAAATACATAAATGCCTACTAATTTTTGTCTCAAATATACTTTTAATTTTATTGCTGTCATTCTTTTGTCATTTCCAACTTCTTTTCCATAATCACCTTGAACGTAGAAAAAGGGAGTTAGTGGTATGCAGGTTTCGGTGACAGCTGGTCTTGTATACAAGAATGAGAAGGTTAACTGCTTATCAGCAAACTCACAAAAAGTGAGTGACAAAAAGCCACAAAACTTTCAGATAAAAAAAAAATCAATTTAAAAAAATAAGAGAGTAATTTAGACCAGACAGTTCTATGGAATCTGCTTCTTCTCAGTATAGTAATCAAAGTAAAAATTTTAGTGTCATGTGGCTGCTGTGGGGAGAAAATGAGTAAATTGTATTGAATTTAACTACTTCAGAAAAAGTGTGACTAGGTTAAGCTTATAGTCTATGGTTACACTTCTAGAGGAACTTACAAGAATAATAGCAGATAATGTGATGAACTTTTTGTGCAATATTATAATGGATGGAATTATTTTATCCTTTGCCCAAAACGTATTGCTTGCTTACATGAGTAATATGTAGGTACTGTATGTAATTTCAGATCCCCCTTGTTTTAATTGTTTTTTCCTTCTTTTCATTTTGCAAGTGTCAAGATTTGCCCCAGGTTTGTGTAATGCTTACTACGGCTACATTCACATGTTAATTCAGTTCTATGTGATCACAGTGTGTATGTGAACCAGTATTAATATGCTTTTACTGCTACTGAGGGAAAAGTCATGTCAGTTCTTGTCCCTGCATGTCAACGTCTTAGTCCAAGTTTTCGCCTCTATGAGTGAGGCTGCCAGTAGTCAAAATTGTGCAATTGTATGGAGATATGAAGCCACTGAATTTACAGACTTTGAATTTCACTTTAGACTCAAAACTCAGTTTGTGAAATAATACATTAACAACTACCAGGTAGTCCACAGTACTTAAAAATCTTTTCAGCTATAATCATTAATAAATAACACTTCGGCACTAAATACGGAATCCCTTTTATTTATAGCACATACATTATAGTATATTAAAAAACTATCATTTATATATTATTTTAGCTTGTTTGACAAAATATAATTACCTATAAAGCCAATAGCTACTCAGAAGTGAAATTTGTGGTGCATTCATTCAAAACTGTTACACACTTAGAGAGTTCAATAAAAATATCCCATTAAAATAAAGCATAGCCAAAGGCTGTATTTTCCTGGCAGACAATAAAATACCCAAAAGCACGCACAGACTGGTCATATGACAGCATGTGCTTTGTTAGTTATATTGTTAAACCTGTCTTTTCTTTTTCTCCCACAGCCACTGGTTTAGCCCTGGGGCTAGGAAGGAACATAGCCAGGTAAGAACTGCTTTGATCAAGAACAGTTTACTTGAGATGTATAAAGGAATTTAACTACCTCTACTCCAGAGGTAGTAGCCTAACATTTTAAGAAATTATAAACAAAGCGCAGGTATGATTTCATATCTTCTTGTAAGGAAACATATTAACCGCAGTGCATTTCAAAAAGTCCCTTAATTAAAAATCTTTAATTAGTCACGTAATTTCAGTTAAGTATCTTTGAGTTTTAAAAGGTTAAATGAGAAGTCTGATTTTTTTTTTAATGATTTTGTTAATCGTAGTATCTCCAAATGCTGCGTTTCTCAAAATGCTGGAAAGCAAAACATATGACTCAAAATCAAGAAATACAGAACAGTGACAAGAGTGGGCAGGCTTCTACAGGAAGATCTTCAGTTCCATTTTTCTGCATTTCATTGGTTAAAATGACCACAACAGCAAGGCATTGATATTTAAGACTAAAGTTCCGTAGTAAATTTTTTAAGTTGGTAAAAATTGATATAACACAGTTGATTTCATTAGATTCGTGCCAGTTTGCTAGTACATTTACAAATTTAAATAGATTTGAAACTTCAAAAGGAAATAAGATCTATAGAATCTTTGGAGGGTTCATCTTAGGGTGATTCATCACGAACACTTGTAGCTCCAGTAAGTCATAGTTTAAATCAGCATATACTCTTTCCTGTCCCCTCCCCCTTCTTTGGAACTCAAAGCTGAATCCCTAAAAGTTATATTACTTGCCCAAAACTGCCAGAGTGGATAAAACATAGTACAGTTATAGCGGTAAATCGTGACCTTCTGACATGTTACAGTAAGCTGACTGACACTTAACATCTAAACAGATGGCTTTATATGATTCACATTTTACTCTCATTATTTTGTAACACATTTCCTAGTAGAAGAAACACATTAAAAAGAGCATTTTAAATATGAGCGTGCTTTGTCTTAATCATGATAAAAAGTTCTCTTGGGTTAATCTTTATCTTATTCCTGAAATTTTGATGCTATAAGTAGTCAAATTTCCTGGATTAGAAAGAGTTTGAGTGATTTCTTTTTAATTGGATTTTTTTAATATATTGATTGTCTCACATAACAGAGTAGTTAACTGATGATGTACTCTTTACTTCTTTAAAAGATTCTAAGCTTAAAACATTATGGAAACTTCCATCCTGAGAAATACGTTAACCTACATCATACATGCTGGCAAAATCTATTCAGCATAGAGTGTGCAAAAATGTCTGCTTAGCTGGTATATAATGACAAATTAATTCATATTTTTTCAGATAATAGTAGATTTGAATGAATTTTAAATTTTATGTGTTTATTTCATGTTTTCTAACAGCTGTGTTTCCAGAGCTTATCTGAAGTTCACTGTATGTGTAACTTACAGGTTACTAATGACTTGTGAAGTAAAGCTGATGTCATCAAATAATATAGGTGCTACTGGCACATAGTGGGTTATTTTTTTTAGACAAGTAAAAGACATTAGAATGATGGTGCAATGTAATTATGACAATTTTGACAGCCTATAAAATTCTCACTAAATTTGTGAAGATCTATAGTGCGTAACTGTTGGTTGCATGGGTTTACTACTTTTTCTTTTAATTAATCTCTGGAGTTGAAGTTGTTATGTTAGAACACAAGTGATTAACTAGTCAAATTTAAAGTCTGGCAGGTGATCTGTATTTGTACGTGCTATAACTACAATTTACTTATCAGCCTGAGAACATTGATAACAGTAAGACTGTTCTCCTTAGCTTGATCATGAAATAGATACACATTGTACAAATGTCATGCTCGTAAAAATTGTGGCTACATTTAAATATGAATTGTAAGTGCTCTGATTTGTTGACGATAAGAAAATAAAAAATTATTTTACCAGAATAAGGTGCCTTACCTTTACGTATCCTTCAGATTGCCCTTTAAAACCAGACTGTGCTATTGTTACTGCATCTAAGAGCTAGATAGTTGAAATGATGAGGAGCATTCCTTAAACAAGAAGCAAGCTGTAAAGAGTTGGGGAAAAATTAATCAAGTGTAATTTTTCAGATAGGTGTAATTTTTTGGAGTCCATGCTCATGTACAGCATTAAGCTGTGGTTGGCCAAGTCATAAAGTTCATCATTTCATAATTTCCAGTGGACTTTTAACTGTGTTTTGCTGTGAATATTAGATCCATTTACCTGTAGACTATTTCTAAATAGTCTTTCATTCTATACTTTCTTCAGGAAAGGACTAGTTTCAAGAAACATTTGTATTTTTTATACTCTCTAGTTTTAATTTCTTTAGTGTAACTTTTTGACAGTTTGGGTTTTTTTTACTGTTACTGCCACTTTACTCATCCTGACAAATATCATAATGCTGGAAACAGACTTCTGAGAATTGGAGATAGTCTGAATGGAAAGTCTTCCTTTATTTGTCTAAAAATAGAGTAAATTGGAGCTTGTTCCAGAAGCTGAGTCACTGTTTCAGTTAAATGAACCCTTCATTATTCCTACTTCCCCACTATTACGGGAAGCTTTAATACCATGTTTTTGTTGATTCTGCAACTTTCAAATTACAAAAGCTCCTGGGGCTTAGAAGAGTTTATAACTGTTTCATAACAGGTTAGGTACAAGTGCCAACCTGAATAGTTTTTCATAATTTAAGTGTTTTCCAACACTTTTTATTATACAATTTTGAAAATTTAAATTGAAATTGTGAAAATTTTAATATTTTACAGATAAGCTAATTGTGAAATTGTGCATTGCATGGCTTTATATAATATGCTTTGAGAATGCTTTAATTTTAAAATTTTCAATTATTTAGGAATTTTAAATTGGTAGCTATATCTTGAAATATTAGCTGTTATTGTAAAATTCTATTAGATGTCCATCTCTTCTAGAGTCTTGGGTGAAAAGTATTGAAAGATTACTGAAGACAGGAAAGAATGGTATTGTCAGGATAACATTTCTAAAAAGCAAATAAAGGCATTGCTTGTGAGACTGTTCTGAACATTATTTTTTTTTTCTGTAATAGCTTCAACTCTTGCGCGACAACCGATCGGAGAGAGGACACAAGAAGAACAGCTCTGTAAAAACAGCTAGCAGGTAAGTTAATGCTGCAGCTGTCATTAATACTATTTATGAATTTGTTGATTTCTTAACTCTCAAATTTTCATATAAGAAATGACACCATTCTTTTGGGATATTTTCAGAGGTCTTCTGGGGTTTTTTTGTGATTTACTTTCAAGAATTTCTTTTATATGGCACAATCTTTGCCTAAAATATAGGTATTAGACTTTATTGGTGACTATATCCAACTACACTTACTAAAAGTAATCTTCAGTAAACATCGGAATTAAATGGATGCCAAAGTAAGGTTTGTGCTTCTGGCATGTAACTTAAGTACTGAAAATGTGTAAAATTACCAGTATGCATACATGCTTTTGAAATCAAGCAGATAAATACTGTAACACTTAAATTGTTCTTATATTTTGACAATAAAAATTTCATTGTGAAGACCTATTAAAAACAAATCTTGTTCTATCCTCCAGCTTCTTTCCTCCCCCTAAAAAAGACAAAAAAAATCAACACTGATGGGCACTGGTCTAGAAGTCTGTTCCTAGAGGGTTTTTTATGTATGTTACCTGCTGAATCTATTCTGCTAAATAATTATTTTAATTCTAGTAGTTTTTAAAATGAGAAACTACAGAAATGTTTCCCTTGCTATGCGCAACACCTTACACAATTTTCATGTTGTTCTGTAAAAATGACAATGTGCTATCAAATGACTTTTTTCAAAATATTATAATAGATTTATATCATCATGTAATACTATGGTTTTAAGTGAGACAGTTCTCTTTCAGGCACTTGTCTTTTAGTATATATATGGTCATCCTGAAATAAGTTTTTTATATTGTTAAATACTTGCTGTGATGAATACCTGGAAAGGGAGACCAATACTACTTTCAAAAATATGCATATGAAATATAAATCTATTTCAGTGTATACAAGTTCTGATTACACGCTCTAAAACGTTGGTTATGCAAGTGTTGGTCATTCATCTTCAGAAATTGTGGTTATCTTTGTCTATTAAACCTTTTATATTAAGCCCCAAAAAATTTGAAAATTTCTGCATGTTTTCTGGCAAGGGCACTTGTTAAATCATATTTTTGCTCAGAATTTTAGAATGAGTTCACTTTAGATATGAATTTTCACCATAAATGCACTCTTACTATCAGGCTGCTTGCATGAAACTGAGAGTATAAAGTGGATATAAAGTGAGCGGTAAGAAACAAGTTATATTTAGATCTTTTTCATGCTGTAGCAACGTAAAAAGATGTCTGAGGAATTCAGAATCATAACTTCCTTGTTTGTTATTCTGACCAGTGAAGCTCTTGTGAAGTGATTGCTGCCTACACAAGCAGTTAAAATATTTTTTAAATGGCATTAAATACCTGAAGTGATCTTCAGCCTCTCTTCATGTCCAATCAGCGGTACGTTAGTAGACTGTTATCCCAATAAACAGCTGGCAGGGTTGTGTAGAAGCAATTCGTGGCAAATCCAAGACTGAAGACTGACATTTTCCATAAAGTATCTGTAATATTAAAGTAAGACTTACATAAACCATTATTATGACGTACATAAGGCCACGGTATATTATCATACTGTAATAACTTTAAAAGCAGCAAGGTCACCTGCTAACATCTGGTACCATCATTTCTGTTTTCAAAGGCTTTTTTTTCTCCAGATGGAGTCAGGTTATTTCAAAGTAGTTATTTGTGCTTTTTCAGAAAACCACCGTTTTCTCTGCCTACCACAGAAACTTTACTGTCAATTCTTTAAAGTGACTTGAAGAGAAGTTCTCAAACTTCTATGATAATGATATTTTTAACAGGCCATCTGCTGTCTTAGAATATCAAGTCATATATGTCTTATTTACAAGACGTGTATTGAACAAATTTTAACATTCTTGCTACAGTTTAGCTGCTGAAAATAAGAATTCAATTTGCATGATGTGCAAATATTTTTTTTTTCTCTCAGGCCAGTGACATGTCTGGTGACTGCTTTCTTCCTACAGTTTAAGTGTTGTATAACCTAATATTTTGCTTTTTATCAACAGCTGTTACAACCAAAATAGAGATTGAGTTTCAGATATATAGGAACAATACATGACAAATACATAGTTCATCTCCTCATATGTTCATAGTACCTATCCTCATTTGATTCAAGAGTATTTGGTATTTTGTCCCTTACAAATCAAATTCGTGGTGCCTAATGACATATGTCAGATTTATCTGTGGTTAATATTGAAGGCTGGTTTTGTTATGACTTGATTTTAATTTATCACTTCTACCAAAAGGGTTAATCTTAGTTTCACCAGACAATACAGAGAAGGAAAATGTTTCTGCTTAACAAGGTGTACCTATAGAAATTATTGTTTTAGTAGCAAGTATTTTTCACAGAGTTAATAAAATGGTGAATATCACCTTAGTTGCAAATGTGCATTTTCATTACTGTGTATGAAGTCTTAAAATGGAAATCTGTCATTTAGATTTTTGCATGTGCCCAAATACTTTAAAAACCACTAAGCTACAATGATACCAATCAAATGTCACAAGGTTAAGTTACAGAATTAAGTGACATTGTAGTAAATCTTTCATTATTTCAGTGAGCTACATGCATATGCAGTTAAATCTTCTGTTGAATGCAAGTGTTTACTCACACTTGAAAGTCTGAAGCTTTCTGAAATTGATTCTAAATTAGTTCTTCATGTGTTAAACTATTACAGTTGACATGTCAAGGTAATTCAGATGAGTAACGTCCTTAAAAAGAGGCATACAAAAAGTAATCGTTGTGACCTTATATTGTCTTACTGTTTGTTGCTAAATGCGCTGATAGAACAGCAGCAGTGGGTAAGTATTGGAAATTCTATAAAATTATTGTACTTATCCAGAATACAGTTTAATCTGCTTTTATTGCAAGACTGAATTTCTCCTGGTCTGTCTTTGCATAGTTTTCACACAACTGTATTTCTTGTTGTGGGACTGTATCTTTTTTGTTGCTGTTCTGGAAGACCTTTTTTCTGTTTTTTGTATGTATATGAGATATGTATATACACTCATGTTTTTCTATGCTTGCCTTGACTTTTCTTACCCCTTTTGGATGACTGAACACAGTCCTTGTCTCAGCATGTAGACAATATGTAAATACCCATATTACATTAGATCAGTGACTTGTGGAATAATTTGCTCTGTAAATACATCAGAAGGGTGTGGAGCTCTAAGCATGGCAGTGATCTGCAGCTGTCTCTTCGTGGTGGAATAATACTGATACGTTCTGGGTGAGCTTTACTGTCCTGGGTTGCTTGTATTAGGTTTCTTCTGTCAAAATTAATAATGATGAGCCAATCCTATATGAACTAGCACCAACTTTTACTACTGGCAAGATAATTAGATTGTTGAGAACTGATGATATGGCTACTGATGAACCAGGTGTTAAGGAGGGGGACAGTCCTGCACCGCAAAACTTAGAATGTGGATAGATTGTATTATGCTGATGCAGTTCAACACATGTGGTCGTCTCTATTTGACATATTTAAATACATATATATGTCTATTTATGCCACCTTTACAGATAAGCTTTAATCTACAAATATGTAGCTTTCCCATTAATTACTTACATTAAACCAGTATTACTTAGTATTGTTTATGTAGAAGCTGCCTTTATTTCTCCTGTATAGCCTTGAAAAAGTTCTCTGTTTCCATTATCTCTCTGTGTTAGGACAGGAACAGTCCTCCTCAACCCAGCTACACTGCTGGAAGGTGTTAATTCTTCCAGCTGCTTGTTTCCATCCACTACTCTTTTGCCAGTAGAGAAGTTTTTTGTCTGCATTTTTTAATATGCTTTGGGCAAAACCAGCCTGGTTAGCTCAACTCGCCTATTTAAATTAAATTGGCTGGTTTTGTACAAACCATATTAGGGAGTGCTCACATGATTTCTTCCTCCGGCAGAGCTGTGGAGATGATAATCTTCAGCAGATGTGTGATAACAAATAGCTTGGGATAGTAATGTCTTCATCTGGCGCAGTTGTTAGCAGACCAAATGTCTGTCTGTAGCCTGAGGCTGTGGGCAAACAATTGAATGTGATTGAGTTATGGCGAGTTAACAAGTTGTTGCTCGGCAGCTGAACTGCCATAGCTGATCATGTGCCCCTTGTTTGCCTGCTCCCATCATGAGGTAAAGCACATTTTCTTAAGTCACCTTTGTAAAATTTTTTTAAAAATGAGTTCTGCCTAAAGAAGATTCCCCAGGGCTAAGGGATTCATTTGGTCAGCTACGGAGACAGCGTTGAACGGTATTTTGCTGAACTACTATAACATGATTTTGAACATGTGATTATATTGTTAAATATATGGAGGACCTCCATCACACAACTGTCTGCCTGTATTTATCCTCACAATACCTGTATGAAGTTAGGAAGCACTTTTATCCTCATTTGACAGAATGACCAGAATACTTAGACACCTTAATATTTTGCCTTTGGTCATACAGGCGATGCAATAACTAGTTAATTTATGCTGTAATCTAGAAACAACAGAATTATTTTTTCTACATATTTATTTTTTTCTTTCTGTACTGTAAGTAGAATTTGACACATGCATGCATTGAGAAACTGAAAAGAAAACAGTGCCAGAAGTTCTGCCACTTGCCAGGTTTTTTTGGTCATACCTTGGTAATTCTGTGTTGGCTGAAACACTCCCCCAGGGATCTTTAAAAGGGAAAAAAAAAAATTGTTTTGTAGTCTTATGCAGCTCAGTCCTGGCTGAGCCAAGTTCACAAAAGTGATTTCAAGGTGGAGTAGAATTATACAAGTTAAGTTTAAACTAGGTAACCGATGCTGAGTTAACAATATAGTCAATGTAGCAGCAGCATAGCATGAAGTAGTTTGCCACTTGTTGTGGCTGCAGTAAACTATAGCTTGAGGTAGAGGCGATACCTTGATATTTCTTTAAAAATCAGCAGGAGCCACCTACTCAGCCATTACTATAATGTGAAAGGAGGACTGTGTGCCAGTCATCCAATGATCACCTGTTGCTGCTCTATTT